AGCTGACAGAGATAGAAAGACTTCCCCTGAAGCTGGCACCCTGAATTTGTGACTTCTAGCCACCTAGACTGTGAGAGAATATATTTGTCTTTGTTAGAGCCTACCACTACCAAGGAAGGAAAGACCCACAAGAGAGACCCGCAGGAGAGACCTGCAGGGAACAGTGGGCTTCCCCAGCCCACGGAGGGAGCGAGAAAGATGAGTGCCTTTGGGCAGAGACTGAAGGCCAGAAGAGACGTGCCTTCGAGCATGGCTGGGAAGAGGCTGTCCTGATGGAAGAACTGTATCCTGAGTGTTCCTAAGCCTGAATTGTAACTGTTACTTACTTCCCTAATAAACCCCATAAACATGAGTATGGTCTGTGAGTTCTGTTTGGCCATTGCAATGAATTATTGAACCCAGCAGAGAGTGCTGTGGTAGGGACGGTTAATGTCAGAGTTGGTAAAGACAGCGGAGAGGAGGCAGGTCGGACCTCCACCTCATAGGAATCATCTTTGGGCTGTTGATCTTGATTCTCCTTTACTCTCGTGATCTTAGAGGAGGTCAGATACCACTTCCATGCCCTTTTTACCATTTGCTCATTACCTTGACCTCAAAAATCTAGAGATTCTTTCTTAATTTCCGCTGAGAAGTTCCTTAGTTTAAGACCTTAAAATAATATATCAAATTGAAAATATTATAGGAATACTTAATGAAGTGTTCAGAATCATGATTTCTAGACATTTAGAATATTTTATCCAATGTACCGGTGCTAATAAACTTAGTCTAAATCAGTTTCAATAGCTATTTTTTAATTATTGTAAAACTCTTATGTCTTACATTTTCCCCTTTAAAATAGCCAAGTTTGTTCTCTCTAAATATAAAAAGTCAATGAAATTTGTGCACGAAAATAGAAGAGATAATAAAATGCATGCTTATATTCACTACTGAATGTTTAGAGAACAAGTTTCAGTATAGCGTGAAATCATTTTTTCTGTCAAAAGCACAGAAGAAAGAGAGCCATTTTGGGATTTTGAAATATAGAGAATGCTATTAGGTGAATAACATTTGACATTGCTCCTAAAAATAAGCATAATAATAATAATAGCAGTAATAAAAACCAAAGAATTATCTAGAGATTAAGAAGTGACATCACTAATCTAAACACTTTAAACATATTAACTCATTAACACAACCCAATGAGATAAATGCTATTATAATTCCCATTTTTTTAGATGAGGAAATTTTTTTTTTTTTTGCAACAAATAACTCTGAATCAACACATCACTGTACTTTGGGAGTAACACATTGTGGTCGAGTCGATTCCAACCCATAGCGACCCTATATGACAGAGAAGAATTGCCCATAGGGTTTCCAAGGAGAGGCTGGTAGATTTGAACTGCCGACCTTTTGGTTGGCTGCCGAGCTCTTAACCGCTATGCCACCTGGGCTCCACTTTGGGAGTAGTATACGCTAAATCATGGACATTATCAATGCGTGAAATTAAGGCTTTATTTAAGAAATAGAGAGAAGGAGAGAGAGAATCCTTGAAACACATGCTACTTTGGTGAAATACATAAAAAATTCAGGTCAGGCTAATAATGTTATAAATAGCTTAAAACATATATATAATATATATAATAGTATTATTATATATAGCAAACAAAAAGCTATATTTAAACTCTTAAATAACATTAAAATAGTATACGAACTGTAGGTATCTATGTCACTGGTGTACTACATTCCGAAATTTATATAATAGCTCATATCCACAAATCTATAATTTCTATTTTTTCCATTTCCATTTTTCATAAGCAATGTTTTCTGATATTAGAGTTTAGTAATTCTTCTCCTTAGAATATTTTCAGACTTAAAACAGACAGTCATAAATCATAGTCAGCTTTTGTACACAATGAAAACTCAATAAATATTTTATATAAAATCTAGGAAGATCTGTCTTTTCTCTGTATTGCCACTTACACACTAATTGTTCTCAAAAACAAAAAGACAGGACAATCTATTTATCTCTTTACTCGTAACTATGGGTTTAGAGTCATAAAGTAGCAGATCATTTCCAAGAAATGCTAGAAAGAACTAGCTTCTGGTAAATATATGTTCTCTACTACAAAGGCTTAAAGTTATAAATATGACAGTACTGTCATGGATTCATCATATTTCTCAATAAAATAACTTTTTACATATTTAAAGTACATATTTATTTGCAAAATAGTTGAATCAGACACTATTAAACATCATTTTAACCTCGGTTGCTAATTTTTGTGCTCTGAAACTCACACAACCCTGGTACTTGGACAAATCTAATCGGCATACCATCTTCTGATACATCTAGTGCCAGAATTTCTTTGTTTCTGTTAGGTGCCATCAGGTTGGTTCTGACTCAGAGTGACCCTGTGTGCAACAGAACAAAACACTGCCCGGTCCTGTGCCATCTGCACAATTGTTGTTATGCTTAAGTTCATTGTTGCAGCCACTGTGTCAATCCATCTCATTGAGGGTCTTCCTCTTTCCCGCTGACCCTCCCTTTACCAAGCACGATGTCTCTCTCCAGGGACTGTCTCTCCTGATAACATGTCCAAAGTTAGGTGAGAGAAGTCTCACCATCCTCGCTTCTAAGGAGTATTCTGGCTGTACTTCTTCCAAGATAGATTTGTTTGTTCTTCTGGCAGTCCATGGTATATTCAATATTCTTCACCAACACCATAATTCAAAGGCATCAATTCTTCTTCGGTCTTCTTTAGTTACTGTCCAGCTTTCGCATGCATATGAGGCGATTGAAAATATTATGTCTTGGGTCAGGTGCACCTTAGTCCTCAAAGTGACATTTTTCTTTTTAACCCTTTAAAGAGGTCTTTTGCAGCAGATTTGTTCAATGCAGTGAGTCATTTGATTTCCTGACTGCTGCTTCCATGGTCGTTGATTGTGGATCCAAGTAAAATGAAATTCTTGACAACTTCAATATTTTCTCTGTTTATCATGATGTTGCTTATTGGTCCAATTATGAGGATTTTTGTTTTCTTTATGTTGAGATGCAATCCATACTTAAGGCTGTAGTCTTTGATCTTCATCAGTAAATGCTTCGAAACTTTGCTTACAGTAAGCAAGATTGTGTCATCTGCATATTGAAGGTTGTTAATAAGTCTTTCTCCAATCCTGATGCCATATTCTTCTTCATATAGTCCTGCTTCTCAAATTATTTGCTCAGCATACAAACTGAATTAAGTGTGGTGAAAGGATACAACCCTGATGCACACCTTTCCTGACTTTAAACCATGCAGGATCCCCTTGTTCTGTTAGAAAGACTGCCTCTTGCTCTATTTACAGGACCCTCATGAGCACAATTAAGTGTTCTGGAATTCCCATTCTTCACAATTTTATCCATAATTTGTTATGATGCACACAGTCAAATGCCTTTGCATAGTCAATAAAACACAGGTAAACATCTTTCTGGTACTCTCTGCTTTTAGCCAAGATCGTCTGACATCAGTAATGATATCCCTCATTCTGCGTCCCCTTCTAGAATCTGGCTTCAATTTCTATCAGTTCCCTGTCATTAAGATAGACTAAGAAGTTCTTAGTCTATCTTAATTTGAATTGTGAACTCTTAGGTATATTCTTTGATGTCCAGGCTATACTGACTCACCTTTGTTCTTCTTGTTCCCTTTCCTGGAAATATGTTTCTTTCTTTCTCTCTCGCTTTCTCTCACTCTGTCTCTGTCTTATACCTAGAGAACACCTACTCATCGTTAAAGACTATCTAAGCAATACCTCTCTTGACAGAGTTAACTATTTTCTTTTTTCCTCTATGCCAAGCTGGTAAATAAGCCACTAAGTATAAATCATGCTGTTACATTTATTTGTGTACACTTTTGACTCATTGACTAGAGTTTAAAATATTTGAAAGCAAGTAATTGTGTAAGATGTTCCTAGTATAGTAGTTGGCCCATAGTAGATATTCAATAAATATTAGATGAGTTAAATAACTTCAGAGTTCAGTCAAGGAGCCCTGGTGCACAATGGTTAAGTGCTTGGCTGCTAACCAAAAGGTCAGAGATTCAAACCCACTAGCTGCTCCATGGAAGAAAAGACCTAGAGATCTGCTCCCACAAAGATTATAGCCCAGGAAACCCTATGGGGCAATTCTACTCTGTCATATAGGTTAGCTTTGAGTTAGAATCAACTCAACAGCACAAAACAAGAGTTCAGTCTGTACTTTACACTGTAATTCTTAAAATTTCCACCATCTGCCCATGGATTTTTATGCTGTTTTTCTGTACAAATACAAATGCTTATACACAAATCACAAAGATAACTCATTTTTCTAAATTAGTCCATTTTAGAAGCATTCCATACATCATTATGAAATTATCAGAAATGTTACCTAGGAAGAAAAAGTAAAAGCATTCATCTGGCTCCCAGAATTTACAAGTTCCTAAATCATTCTACAGACATTTCTGGGCTTCCATAAGTAGTTCTCCATTAATTACATGTCTCCCTTCAATTGAGTCATTACAAAAAATAAACCAAATTAATTATTAGAAATAACCAGCGTTTTAGGTTCATGCCTTATGGAGGAGCACTTGTAGGTCCGTGTTAAGCTATAAGAATATGTTTATATGAAATTGTTGTTTTTGTTGTTGGATGCTGTCGTATCTATTTCAACTCATTGCAACCCCATCTGACAGAGTAGAACTGCCCCATAAGGTTTTTTTGGCTGTAGGTTACCTAAAACATAACTTCATTCTTTTCTGCTTTCAGGTATAAGATAATATTGAATGTAGAACATATAATGAAGTTATTTACATATAATTTATGACAAATTCAAATCAAGTTTATTTGCCCAAGAGAATAAAAATGATGACGACAAAGGCAATGATAACAAGAATAATAACAATTAAGTTAACTAGCTTACACTGAATTTCCTTTATAGGTCTACTTTTTCAACTATGTAACCTTAAATTTTATCCCCTCATAATTATTTCAGAGTAAATATGGCTACTTACTTTTCAGGATTTTCCACTTCCTCAGTAACAAAGTTGAGGTAGAACCTAAGAAAATATAAATAAATTACAAATTATTAATATGTTTTCCAACTGTAGTCCAAAGTTTCAAATTCTTAAATATTTAAAATGTCACTCAGAATTATGAAAACGTTGTAAATAAATACTTATAGTAAGTTGCAAGATTGCAACAACCAAAAACTCCCACAAACCATTTTTCTCTTAAAACATTTATAGACGGCCTGTAAGGGCCAGACATGAGGGATATAAAGGTGAAAGGTCCTTAGTTCCTCTTCTCATGGAGCCCATAGTTTGCAGAAAGTCCTATCAAATGGAGTGATACAGCTCTGTAGGCAACAGTAGAGGCAGATGCAGGGCACTATAGAGCCAGAGAAGGGCCGCCTACCCAGCCTGGTAGTGTCAGGAAAGCTTTCCTAGAGAAGGTTGAGTCTTTAAGAATGCTTAACATTTAGCCCTGGTGAAATGGTGTAAGCATATGAGCAGAGAGATGCAGAAAAGCAGTTACACACAGGGCTATGAGCAACCGTTTAGCATTCTACAGCTTACGATGTGGCAAAGAGAGTAGGAATAGAAATTAAGTACAAGACAACTTCTGTTTTCTGGAAGTTCAAATTTTAGTAGTGGAAATATGTCAACCAAAACTTATAGTACAACTTAAGTATGACTGTAGCATTTCTAAGTTTTAGGAAACCATTATTGTCTTCATAGATACAAGTGAAGCAGATAAGAAGGAACCGAAAATGGGATAAAAGATTATAAATTCTCAATTCACACATCTTCATTTCAGTTCACTGTTTTACAGCATGCAACCCAAATAACCACAAGTCACAATACCGTAAAGTGGCTATTTCTCTTCTTTGTAAATTTAGTCAGTTAATTTTAGGGACAGTATATTCTAAGTTGACAACTAGAGAGCAGGAAATTTTGAACATTTCCCAAGTTCTGAATGGCTTTCTGGGTCTCCTACATGACAAGAAACATTCTAGACACACATTCTTTCACTTTCAAGTTCATAGGATTGCAAATATTACCCTAAATTCATGGCCCTAGAGAAATTCAGATTCCTTCAGATTCCTTTCCTTCACTCTGTGACTCTACCCCTTGCATCCTTGACTTCTTTTTCTAACCTAACGGGATTGCTGGTTGGAGCCCTGGTGGCGCGGTGGCTAAGCGTTCGGCTGCTATCCAAAAGGTTGGCAGTAACAATCCACCAGCCTTTCCTTGGAAACACAATGGGACAGTTCTACTCTGTCCTATAGGGTCGCTATGAGTTGGAATCGACTTGATGGCAATGGATTTGTTATGGTTTTGGTCTGGGGACTCTTTAGAGCACTGATTATTCTCAAGGTTCCAAGATGTAAGGTTGAGGTAGGCTCCTTCCTCAAATACACAAAGAACTGGGTCGTGAAAATGAGCAAACAAAGGGATCATAATGGGAAGAGCTAAACATCTAAAGACAAAGGCCTTTTTAACCTTTTTGTTTCTTAGGAAATTTTCACAAAACAGAAAGTCATATTCTCAGTGTACATACTGCTTTGTCCCCTTATTTTTCCTTAGGAAGTAAAATAACCTTCCACAATGGGATACAGGAGTCTATAGGTACAGATTATCTGCAATCTAAAATCAAATGGCTGGAATATTAGCCCATCAGACCTTAATATATTGAAAGTATCTCATAAACTAAAACAAAGGTGAGGAGACCTGTCTTACTCCATCATTGTAAAAATTCCATTTAAATTCGTGAATAGGCAGTCGCTGTTCAAGGTTAAATTGTCTAATCCTTTAAGAACTAGGCTTTAAGTAGAAACATTTGAATAGCTAAAATACTAGTAGCAATAAACGTGCTTTAAAAAGTTAGCAGCTAAGTAATTTTTTTAATGACTAGAATGTCCATTTCTGAAAAAAGAGGTTATAGTTGTATCAGGAAAGCAAGCAACAATCAATACTTATATCTGGAATATGCACTCCAAGGGATTTGATGTATTTGTTTTAAGCCCAAGGCAACAGGAATTACGGGGGTGGGGGAGCAATATTTCTAGGTTTCTCATGTCAAAAATAGACAGTTTCTTCTTAACAGTTTTTTAAAAACTGGTTTTTCCAACGCTGTTAAAGCAAGAAAGGAAATATTTATGAAAAAAGGAACACAGTTTCAAACATTTGCCATAGCTCCAGAGAACAGAGAAAAGGAAAGGATTTGGGGCTGGGTGGGGGGTGGGAAGGAAGATGCTTCTTATTCTGATTCAAATATTCACATCCTGTGGGACAAACACCTTTCTGCTCGCCTAGTCTCCAGTCCATAGTATCCTCTTTAGTTTACATCTCTCCTCAAGGTCTCTCGAGAATGTTCACAAAACCCATTGTTTCAGCTTCTCCATGATTGTGTATAAAAGGCATGGCAAAGCTGGCAGTGCAGCCCAGTACCCAACTATGGGAATTATTTTGAAAACAAGCTTATTCTTTAGATTAGATTTGACACAATGGTACAAAATAAATCTCAGCAGGGGCTTTAGAAAGCTAAATCCATTGAGGATGAAATTTAAAATGGAGAGAAAAAAAGACACGGAAAAACTATTTTCTATCACAGAGTTTAAAAAAACAAAAATCCACCAAGCAATATTTAGCTTTGGATCAGGAAAAGGGATGGAAATTGGTTGCGTTCCCCAGGGCCACAAGGGGGAATGGCAGAATTATTTTTCTGAACGCAGACATGGGCAGTAATAGAAAGCTCTTCTGACCTCACTCTGCAGCCTAGCGGGGTTAATGATTTCTTCTACCTTCATCGTGTTTCTGGGAAGGAGTTTTCATCCTTCTGGGAAGGCTCGGTGCTTCTCATAGCCAAAAGCTTACTCTATTCAGATTTCCCAAGGTTTGGTAGTGTCTTTTTCCTATTCAAAATGGAGGAGATGGAATTGCTAACAGTTAGAGCAAGGCCTCCAGGACAACAACAGTCTTGGCTTTTACTTAATCCCTAGGTGGTAGTTCTGATGACAATGGCTGCCTCTGTCTCATTCCATTTGCCATGTCCCCCTCCCTTTTTTTCCATCAGACACTGTCACAGCGGCAACACAGGGAGTGAAGGCTCATTTACAGTGCCCCATTTCTAATCCTACCACCCAATTCCTTAATTATATCATGCGAACTAGTGGCCAGAGAGGCAGGGGATCACATTTGGAAAGTGAATAAATGTCCTTTCCTCTGGGCTTCTTTTAGCCTCCATCTTGTTCCATTTACATCCAGATAGTAACATTTTCTCTGAATCTTCAAACCAAAAGACGATTTCTTTTAAACACAGCTTCCTTTTTCTAAGACTGATGGCCACAGATGAACAACCAGATTATTTCTACCTATTGACAAAGCAGCGTTCAGGAAGCACAACAGCCTGGAATAGAAATACAGTTACTTATCTGTCTCCTACATAAGCCACTTGTATCAGATAACATTCCATTTAAAATCTAGGCCTTCTTATCCAATACTGTGATTGAACCCTCAAGACTATAAGGAAATCAACAATGTCCTGGTCTTTAAGATAGGGGGTGGACATGAGGAGTAAATGAATAAAAGTCTAAAGAAATGTTCACATAAACCTTGCTTACCCTGTAAAAAGAATAACATTTTGGTTCCACACCAATAAATTAAATATTAAGATAGCAATTTGAAATATAATGGGTCTTTATGCACAGAGAATGCTATCAATCAAGCCGCAAAAGCCTACAGAAGTGGAGAAAATTTGTTCAAAATAAAGCAGGCGACCTGAATATTCAGTGCTGAGTGGTAGGAGAGTGGGGAGGATAAAGGAATATTTTAAGATTCTGTGGGAACAGATGCATTACACTTGCAGGCAAAAGAAACTTTATTCAACAGAATTAATCAAATCTCCTTTGTGACTATCTCCGCATCCCGCATTCTTGATTGAGTATTGCCAGGCTCCCCACACTTGGCTCTTGCTGAAAGCTTTCACCACCTCCCTGCTTTGCTCCGGTGTCTCCCAGTTTCCCTCCCTAGAAGCTTGGCTGCTGCCCCAGGGCTCCAGAGCTCTGATCACAGGCTGAATAGCCAGGGGATATTCAATTCTGCTACTAACCCTGTGATCACAACTCGGTTCTTTTCTCTGCCCAGCGCCACATTGTGCTTTGGACAAAAATAAAAGGACTTCAAAAACACTGAGGGACTCGAAACTAATGCTTACACACAATGACTATTTAAGAAAAAAAAAAAAAATTCTGGGAATATACAAATATTTTACCCTAGTCCCTTTAGAGCTACAATGTCCTGACAACCTTCAAACATATTTTGCTTCAAAAGCCATGTTAAAGTTTTAAGTTCCTGTACTCTCTTCATAGTTATCTAATGCTTGCTTTTCATAATTTGATGAAATGAATAGGGTAAACACTCCATTTATTTAAAAATATATCTAAATTCCATGCATTAGCTGGAAGATCCTAAAATGTAAAGAAAAAGGAAATTGTATTTGTGTTTGAAATGTATTTACATAATTTCTGAGTTACTGTACTTTTCTGGTATTAATTTTCGGCTCATAGAACACTCTCACAGCTAAAGCTGTACAACTATTAGATCTACAAAACTAACAAAAAAAGAAATATTGCTGTTAATTGCTCCAAAATAATGAAATTTAATTTTACTATAACGTATCTGATGTTAAATAATATTTTTCTACCTAGTGGGCTTTCTTACAACATTCACTTCAACTAAACCTAATGGGTTAATAAAATTTTGTTAGCAAAATGTCCCACTCTTATCCATGATTATTGTTGTTCAAGTACCTACACAAATCAAGGAACAAATACAAAGTTCCAATGGTTTAACCAGACATTATCACAGCCAGACATGCATCAAAGGAAGTGTATCTTGTGAGATGGTGATTTTAATCATCTTTATTGCATATTTTTTTGTTTTCAGATGAGTGAGGGGAATTTTAAGGAACTTGTAAAGTCCTTTAAAATGTAACAGGATGTCAAATGTACCTGATTTTATTAGCTTGCTTTCTCTTTCCCTACTTTTAGTGTACTATTTTACCTCCCAGGAATATCTTACTTAATTTTATATCTGAATTATTTCCTTTTCTCACAGGAAGGAGAATAATCATTAAGTACTATTTGTAAAAACCCCTGTAGCTTCAAATGAAAGGCAGTCTGACAAGCAAAGTACTAATCTTTAATACCTAGTGTTGCTATCATATCTCTACTGATACATACTCATAAGTAATTTGAACTGGCTTGTAAGACTCAGCATTTGTTGTTGTTTTTTGTAAAATCAGGTTAAATTTACTAGTCACCTTGGCTGGCTATGTTTTTGACAGTTATATTTTTGTTAATTCAGGTGTACAGTACTTACTGATTTGGTGGAGGGGACAGTGCCATGTTTCTCATTTCAAGTACAGCATATCACAATGGATTGTGGCTGCTCATATTTGCCTAGCACCTTGCTTGGCATTTAAAGCAGGTGAAGGAATGAATGAACCATCCAGCCCACCAGATCTATTGACATCAACTTACCAGCCAGCATAGGCATACATTCCATAATAAAAAGCCAGTGGCAATCCCATAATATTCGCATCTCTTCCTGAAAAGGCATCTTTAAAGTGCTGTGTGTGCCCTGCAATGAGAATAGAAAGATTTGAGGACTTTTTAATGAATTGGTTATTATGCATTCTTTAACCATAAAGATTTCCGTCTTTAAATACACCGGAAGTAGCAATGAAGTATTTGTAACCGTACTGTTTCAGATTTCTGACTCCCTGCTCAGTGCCAACTGTTTCTGTTACTACCGTACTCATTTTAGAGGGGTCCTAAATTAAGTGCGATGATCACCACTAACACTATATTTCTCTTTTAATAAAGTTATAGAAAAGGAAAATGAGATTTAAAAAACAATTCTTTATTGGAGAGAGCCTAAACTCTTAACTCTTGACGGAAGTTGATCATGAAAGAAGACTCATTTGTTTTTAGAAGTGTGACACACACACGCACACACAAATCAAACCCATTGCAGTGGAGTGGATTCTGAGTCATAGTGACCCTATAGGACAGAGTAGAACTGCCCCATAGTGTTTCCAAAGCTGTAAATCTTTAGGGAAGCGGACCGCCACCTCTTTCTCCCACTGAGCGGCTGGTGGATTCTAACTACCAACTTTTTGTTAGGAACTGAGCGCTGAAGTACTGCACCAGCAGGGCTTCTTGAGAAGTGTGATAGAGTTCTTAAAAGTGAAGGTAATGTAATATGTGGGAAGAAATTCAAAGAAATATCCAAGGGTGTACCCACAATGAGGAGGTAGCAAGAACCCCCAAAACTACCATCACGCATCATTTAATTTTCTATTTTCTGTGTATCCCCTGTAGTTTATTAGACACCTAACCTTCTAGGACAGGCGTTGGCAAAATACTACTTGAGGTCCAATCCTGCTCCTCCCTGTTTCAATGGAGCAGAACCATGCTCATTTGTTTACATATTGTCTGTGACTGACTCCTGCTGAAACAGCAGAGTTGTTGTGACACAGAACACGTGGTCAAAAAGGTTGAAAATATTACTATCTTGCCTTTTACAGAAAAAGTTTGCAGACTCTTCTCTAAAGTCTAGCACTGATTCCTTCTAAATACATTGAAAAAAATCTTCTGAACTCTAAAATAGGTTTTAACAAATTTTTCATCACGTATGTGGATTAAACGCTTTTATGCTTTTCTGTTATTTTCTGTCTTGTGTCTTGTGTGAATTGTAACTGGCCTTTTCCTTACATATCTTTTGAATAATTTAAAAAATAAAAATTGAGATTTACTTTAGTCTGTCAATAAAAGAAAACAGTAAAGGAAATTACCCAAATGGAAAATTAGTCTTCATATAAGTAAACACAGGGAGTCTGCAGGTAGATGACAACATATGAGACATTCTCTCTTCAAAGTCAAAAGTCAGTTACTGCCTGCAGTGCCCAGACATAATATATATATTGATATAAAATGTATTGAGATAAAAAATGGAGAATGTTGAATAATACGATAAATGATTTTTCCTTGAGAGTATCCAATTCCCCAAAAAAGCTTATTTTAAAATGATGTATTTTCAGAACTACTTCTGTTTTACTAAAAGCATCTCCATGACCTTATTAAAGGACTATATAAATACTGGATTTTAGGGGGAAAAAAATTGTTGAATATTCTTTTGTCATGATTTGTGGTCTCTTTGGCCTATAGGGGCAATATCCTTTAGGTTGCAGCATGAAACAATACGAGAAACTGAAATTATATAGAAGTTGGATCTCAAGCACAGATCATGAAAAGTCTCGTTTTGAGATTATTAGAATAGAGAAGCATTTCTAAACTTCAGGGATTTTTTGGCTGACTAACCAAAACCAAACCAAATTCGTTGTCGTTGAGTCAATTCCAACTCATAGCAACCCTATAGGACAGGGTAGAACTGCCCCATAGGGTTTCCAAGGAGCATCTGGTAGATTCGAACTGCCAACCTTTTGGTTAGCAGCCGTAGCTCTTAGCGACTACACCACCAGGGTTTCTGGCTGAGTAACAGAGGACCCTAAATGATGGACGTCATGATATCCACAGGAAAGCTTAGCAAATCCTCATGAGTAAATACAAAACATACAGACATTTTCAGGATCTGACTAGAGTAGAAATAAATGCACATTTATAATTGCAAAGTTTTTCTCTTTCTGGGATTTCAGATTAATATGAGAAATGTGTGATCAAGTTAGAGATAAAGGAAAATCACATTTTTTTATTAATAGAGAAAATATACTTGCTAAGAATACTATGCAAAATATTAAAATTTACTTTAAATTTGGTAAGCTATATGAAGAGGCCTGCTCAAATTAAGCATTTATATCGTAAGTATTAATTAAGGTATTACTCTGTAGTAAGTGCTAAAAATGGTTCATGGAACATATCATGACTTCTGCTCTCAAGGAATTCTCAATACAATAACATGTGGGCAACCGATCCCCAACTTGCACATATATCAATAAGTGGGAAAAAATAACTATAGCCTATAATGCTGCCTGTTGCCCTACATTACAGCAAAAAGGAAAAATGAAAGAAGAAACTCTTAGGTTTAAGGAAAATTACATCATTCTTTAGAGCCTAAATTAGGACTAATGTAGGGCCAGTGACATAGGGTTTCTGGACCTTCCAAAAACTGAAGAAACTTCTTACAGAAGAGTAAAGAGTTGGGCCAAAAGAAAAAGAAAGCACTAACAAAACAGATTATTTTGCCTACATTTCTAATGGATCAGATATAATATGAGTAGGCCAGCTTTGTGGAGGCCAAGGTGAATTGGAAGAACGAGCTCATCTCCTCCTCAGTGTCAACTACAGCATCACAAACCTTTCCTGTGTTTATTCTGAGTTGACTGAGGTTGCTGAATTTGATGCAAACATTCAGCCAGCAGGGCTCTAAGATCTCCCACTAGGCTTATTAAATGGACAACAGCAGCTCCTTCTCCCCAGCAACAGAGTGACTGATCTTTCAGTGTCTGTTATCCTTGAATGCCTCTACCAGCAGCGATGATTCTGCTGAACTTTGGCATTTCCTTTTCCCTTAAGTAATTCTCCAGCAACTTCATTAAATTTCTCTATAAATTCCCTTTCTTGGAACAGGCAATAGCAATGTAAACATTAAATACTTAACATGCCCAAGTTGTATGTCACTCCTTTCCAATTATATCTCACTTTCCTATGTATTTCTGCTCCTTGGAAACCCTATGGGGCAGTTCTACTCTGTCCCATACGGTTGCTATGAGTCGGAATCTACTGGAAGGCAACGAGTTCGGGTTTTGATAGTGCCTATTGGAGCCCTGGTGGCATAGTGGTTAAGAGCTCAGCTGCTAACCAAAAAGTCAGCAGTTCAAATCCACCAGCCACTCCTTGGAAACCCTATGGGGTAGTTCTACTCTGTTCTATAGGGTCTCTATGAGCTGGAATTGACTCCACGGCAAGGGGTTTGTTTCCTTGTTTGTTTTTTTTACAGTTCCTGTTACTAATTAAATAACTCACCAGACCTTTTTCTCTTCCAACAATTTACACTGGATTGCATGTGCCTTCTCCCCTAAAACAACTAAAACTCTAAGTGACATCACTACCTCCCACCATCTCATCTTTTCTTGTTAAATACTAAACTCTATAAGGCAAATAATGCCAGGAGAGAGTGTTACGTTTTGGTAGAAATGCAACTTTTACATTAAAAATAACCTAATAAAATTTTAAGCTTTTATGTCTATTTTTATTGGCAAATAATACTTTTTTTTCAGAAAGCTATTTCCATATCTGACTGCCCTTCTCTCAGGATACTTCTCTCAAGGTCAAAGGAATAACAACCATAAAAGTAAGGATTACTGATCATCTTTCATTATTTTCCAGCTATCTTTTGCTTTTTAATCGTTGTTACTAGCAGTGACTTATTTTAAAGCACAAACAAGAGTACATATTCATCTACAGTTAAAACTGGCAATTTTTTTTTCCAGTTTGAGTTTTCATTCCAAACAGTTTATACCAAGAGATTTTACTGATGCCTTGTTTTGTTGCTCAGCCCTTCTTAATCCTCTTGTTGCCATTCAGCTGTAAATACCAACTCACCCCCTCCCCAGTGTAGCAGCCTTTCAAATGGATTAGATGACAGTATAGAGTTTAAGTTCCACAAGCAGAGACTAATTAAGGGATTCTGCTAGTACAAGCAAAAGTTAGTGTTAGAAGAGACCAAAAGCAGATACGTATTTTAAAAAGCATTTACTTTTCAGTCCATACCTTTAATTAGCTGCATAATTCCAGGGACTATAATTATCAGAATTGCTGTGAGCTTGCAAAAGGTTAGGAAAATCTGGATCCGGGCACTCCAGCTGACACTCATGCTATTTAGGACCATCACTACAGCTGCAAACAAATAGGTGGAGTTAGAAATGGCAAATCCTAACTGGAATGAAGACATCTTAGATCCTTGTTAGTCAAAGTGTGAACCATGAACTAGCAGTGCTGGCATCAGCTAGAAGCATGTTAGAAATGCCGAATCTCAGGCCCAGACCCAAACCAAACCCAAACTGGTTGCCATCCAGTCGATTACAACTATAGCAACCCTCAAACCTGCTAAAATTGAATCTACATTTTAACAAGATCTCCAGGTGATTTTTATGCACATCAAAGTTTAAGAAGCAACTACCTTGCATAAAACTTCTGGACAGTAATAATTCCTCTCTTGTTCTTGGTTTATATCAACAATAGTGGATATTATAGTGCTCTAAGTTACAATTCCATAAAAGTGTCTACCAGCTGAATCCTGATGTCATCATAGCATGCAACGGGATTGCTAAATTAGACTCTTTAGGTCAATACAACAGCTATTTCTTACCTCGATGGTGGTGTATATATCTACCTGCCACTGTGAATTACACTTAAAAAGGGCAAGACACAGGGAAGTTAGTTGGGATCTTCTTCTTCACCTTTAGGACTAGTCTTGTTGTGTGCTGTCAAGTCGATTCTGACTCGTAGTGACCCTATACGGCAGAGTAGAACTGCCTCATAGAGTCTCCTAGGCTGTAATCTTCACAGGAGCAGATTGCCAGGTTTTTTTCTCCCACGGAGCGACTGGTGGTGGGCTTAGACCACAGAACTTAACCATTGCGCCACTACGGCTCCTTACTAGCCTTAGTCAGCACTTTTCTTCTTGGTTTTCCTCTCCACTTTCCAATTATCACACCGCGGAGACTTTCAACCTATTCTAAAAGAATAAGCTTCCAAGATACGTTTCGGGATTTGAGCAAAATGTTATAAGTAATCAGTCCAAAATAGTTCCTAGATTAGGACGCACACTGGGTCTGAAGCTAGGAGAATTTCTTTTCCTTGATGATGCTATCCATACAAGTTTCCCAAGCAGCACGTTTATCTATCCTCCTTTCTTTGTAGACCATGAGAAACTTCAGAACAGAACAAGCATCGTTCACCTCTGTATTGCTAGTATCCAGCTCCATGCCCGTTCCACATAAACAATCAACACATTTTTGTTGAATGAATGAAATGGATCCCCAGTTAGAAAAACTATCTTCAGCCAAGGAGGCAAGGTAATGCTCTATGACCCTGGCTACTATACCCCACTGGAAAGACTGAGGTGATTCTAGACAGGAGATTTCAACTTTCTACTCATTCCACAACCTTATACCTAGTGTTAACAACAACAATAAAACCACTGTTTTTGGAAGTCTGCAGTTATTACCAATAAGCTTTATTTTTAAAAAGCTGTATTCCCCCTGTTTTTATAATTACAAAAATGTATGAAGAAATGTCCTGGAATAAAACAAGTCACTTACAGACTTATAATTCAAGTTACAAGTGGGAGTAGATTTCCCTATGTACAGTAATGGAGTTATCTTCGTAGTTTCCATCACTTGATATATTCACTAGCTCACTTCAGAATTTAAGAATCACTGCAAATGTTATCAATGCATAATATATAGTAGCAAAACTTTGGAATAAACTTAAACTCTTAAAGGAAGATTTATTAAGGCATATCCTTTTAATGGATTACTTTAATGGATTACTACACAATCTTTTAAAAACATGGAAACCAGAATGCAGTTAACTATTTATTACATGGAAGGATGTTCATGATATATAACTAAGTAATACACAAGTAATGAAGGGATAAGTAGAGGGTTGGATGGATGGATGGATGGACGGATGGTGGATGGATACAGAAAGAGAGATAGAAAAAGAAAGAAAAGGGAAAGTCTGGAAGAATATTTAGCAAAACATTAATCCTATAGAAGACCAAATCCTAGTTTTCAATTTTTCTTATTTATTGTCTGCATTATTTTTATAATTTTTATAATGAACATGTAGCATTTTTAATCAATAAAGCTATTTTCAATTTCGAAAAAAATACATAGATGAGAAAAATTAGAGACTAATAGATCCCATGTAAAGCTAATAGGGGGTAACTAATGAAGAAATAACTCAAACAAGTAACGATGAGAATCACCAGAAAGTTCAATATCTTGAATAAGCTACTGATTGGGGAAGCTAACAGGAATAGTTTGTCTATGTTTGACGTAGAAAACATGTAGAAATAGATAAGTTCATTGTTTATGGGAAAGTGCATAATTTTACCAGAGGAAGGCCAAAACAATGAAATTATTTTTCTTTCTCCAAAATGAAGCACTTATATATTGAAAATAATTTAACTCAACTCTGTTCCCCTCTTCATCATTCAGTGATTCCTTTCCTTTTGCTATGCAAATAGATCCATGATAAATGAGTCCTCATATGGGAATGATTTTTTTTTTTTTTAAATTAAGAAGATTCAACATTGACTTGAAAAGAAGTAAAATTGGTCTCAAGGTCCCACCAGCAACAAATGCGCACTGTCTTCTTCTAAACTGAGATCCTAAAACAGGAGGTACTCTCTATCTTTGAGAGTACCACACAGTGAAGAAGAGCTGTCATATAGGATGGAAGGGAGGTGAGGAGAAAAGGAAGCAGAGAGGAAGGGGCCAGGAAAGAAGGCGGGAGGGAGGGAGAGAAAGAGAGAAACAGCGAGGCATTTTTTCTTTTGGGACGTCTGAAAAACCAAAAACCAAATCCATTGCCATCAAGTTGATTCCAACTCATAGTGACCCTATAGGACAGAGTAGAACTGCCATAGAGTTTCCAAGGAGTGGCTGGTGGATTCAAACTGCTGACCTTTTGCTTAGCAGCCAAGCTCTTACCCACTGCGCCACCAGTGCTCCTGGAACATCTAACTATCCACATATTCGAGAAGAGGAAAGAGGGATTGTTACTTCCATAAAGCGTATACATTATCTCATGACAATTGAAATGGAAAGAAAGAAAAAAAGAGTATTTGAGATACTCTTTTTAGTCAAGTCTTCTTAGATAAGTGGAAGACAAAATCAAATATTATGAATTGACAATTCCACCTTGCTTTCCTCTCAGAGAGCTAAAACAAAAATTCTGTTTAAGGCTGATTAATTTCAAAGGTTTCTCAAAATGCTGCTTTCTCTGAACACCCCACCATTGCACTCATTACTTGGTACACCAACTTTCAGCTGAGATGTACTCTATGACCCTGAAGGATACAGCTTAACAAGGCAGCCGGTCCATAGGCACTGTGAAGATGCTCAAGTGGCTACAGCTGCTGTTTCATCACGTCTTCACAACAAAATTTAAGTCTACGTATGTTGCTTATCCAACAACATTGAAAAGGGATTTGGGATTCACTAAATGTAAGAGATTTCTGAGTTTCTGGAACAAATAATATCTACTTTGTTTTTTATACACATTCTATCCACATTGTAATAATCAAGGAAATCTGAGCAAGCTTTCTTGTGTGGTTTTACTTCCTTTGAGCAATAATTGCTAATTTCACACATGAGGAAATAATTACATCAATTCGGACTTTTTTTTTCCTTGCTGTGAGCTTTACCAAAATGAAAATACAGGGGCATATAGCTTTTACATACTTAAATGTAACTGAAATGCAGTCATGAAAACTATATCTATAAATCTTGGAGATAAGAAATACATATTTGAAGGGAGCTGTACTTGAAGAGGTTGCTAGGGAAATCATAGAGGCTGACACTGATTTAAAGACTGGCAAACACTTTTTTTTGCACTGTGTGTAATTCAAATCTGTCTTTGGTTTCGGAGAGTAAGATTATGGACCTGGTTATACTAAGCTTTCTCCTAGGTTCAGGTTCTAACTGACTTCTGACTTCTGACTGCTTCATACTGAACTGATAAAATACATGGATGCTGTATGTGTGCCACATGGTTATTTAAAGCGGATTTTCCATTGCTTTTTGTCACAGCTGGCGAGGTTGCCTTTATTTCTTTAGCATTCATTTCCTGGATGCATTAATTTCAGAGATGCTGTGCCGTAATAAACACCTTTAGACCATCTATATCTGCTGTTGTTAGATGCTGTTAAGTCAGTTCTGACTCATAGAGACTGTCATGGTTTGAATTATGTCCCCCCAAAAATGTGTGTATCAATTTGGCTAGGCCATGATTCCTGGTACTGTGTGATTTTCCTGTATGTTGTAAACCTGCTTCTATGATGTTAATGAGGGAGGACCTGATCTACAAGACTGGATTGTGTCCTGAGGCAATCTCTTGAGATATAAAAGACAGAAGTGAGCAGAGAGACAGGGGGACCTCATACCATCAAGAAAGCAGTGCCAGGAGCAGAGCGTGTCCTTTGGACCCGGGTCCCTGCGCCGAGAAGCTCCTAGTCCGGGAGAACACTGATGAGAAGGCTGAGAGAAAGCCTTCCCCTGGAGCTAATACCCTGAATTTGGACTTTTAGCCTACTTTGACTATGAGGAAATAAACTTCTCTTCATTAAAACCATCCACTTGTGGTATTTCTGTTGTAGCAGCACTAGATGACTAAGACAGAGACCCTATGTACAAAAGAATGAAACATCGACTGGTTCTGTGCCATCCTCACAATCCTTACTATGCTTGAGCCCATTGTTGCTGCCACTGTGTCAATCCATCTCGTTGAGGGTCTTCCTCTTTTTCTCTGACCCGCTACTTCATCGAGCATGACGATGTCCTTCTCCAGGGACTGGTCCCTCCTGATAACACGTCCAAAGTACATGAGATGAAGTCTCACCATCCTCACTTCTAAGGAGTATTCTGGCTGTACTTATTCTTCAAAGACAGATTTGTTCATTCTTCTGGAAGCCCAAGATATAGTCAATATACTTCACCAACACCATAATTCAAATGCATCAATTCTTCTTCAGTCTTACTTATTCACTGTTCAGCTTTTGCATGCATATGAGGTGATTGAAAATACCATGGCTATATCTAAGATCTCACTATTGAGAATAAATAGTGGTAAGCATGATAAGGCTTAAATAAAGGTAAACTATTATT